AGACATTCGTGAAAAATTCAAATGTTGTACACAAAAATGGGGCACTCATGGGGACTGTACATAGAAAATTCACTCCCAAAAGAACAAAATTTTGAAGCTTTGAGGACGACTTGGAACTAACGTTTTCAACATTCTTAGTGGGGGTAGGTTTGGGGATGTGTAGGGATAATGTGTGCTCTAGATAGAGATATCAAAATAACCCGTCCCGCCCCGCCTTGCCCTGAACGGGGCCAAAAAAATCTCGCTCCGACGGATTGGCGGGGTGGGAGTCCCCACCCTATCTCGGGTTGCGGGGTAGGGGCCCATGAAGAAATAAAAAAAAAATAAAAAAGTGAATGCTGTGGAGGATTAGGAGTGGAGACAAAATGTAGTAGATAGCATTCGGATCAGGGTTTAAATGTAATAGTGCTGTATGAAAAGCTTTAAGGACCATAAATTTGGCAAAGAAGAAGAGCCCATGGATTGATGAGATTCATCAATTCCCCGTGGAGGTTCCAAAGGTCTCGACTATATATAGTTTCCCTTCCCCGACATTTTCATTAGATGTTGGTTCTTGATTGAAAATGCACCTAGCATAACTTGAATTTTTTTTTTTTTTTTTTTTTAAAGCAAACGGGGCAAACGACCGTCCCGTCCCGCCCCGCTGGCATCTCTAGCTCTAGACTAGAATGATGAGGATGATCAAAATTGGAAAAATTGGAAATTCAAGCCATATTAACGGCAAGTTTAGACAACAAAAACGATTATCGAGGCAATGACTATTAATTTATTAAAGATCGAGGATATGCGTGTCAAGAAACAAAGATTAGGAATAGAAATGCCAAAGAAGGTAAAAGTTGGGAACAATGGTCGCAATTTACCCAATTTTTTTACTTGAAATATACATATAGTTTAGGCATAATAGGGTTGTGAGGTTTTAAAAGCTTCTTTAGCAGTTGTTTGGTATTGTTAAACATAAGATTTTTAGTAAATTTTGATAAAAATTAATAAAACATGTGATTGAAATATTAATAAAAGCTGTAAGTTCCATAGAAACTTTAACTTAATTTTTTTTTTTTATCAACTTTTTATGATAAACAAAGCAAGAACTTAACAACTTGTATTTTCTGCTTTGGTTCTTTACTAGTTTGTGCAAATACACTCTCCATCAAACCACATAAATTCAGTGCTGCAAAAATTTGCTTGCAAACATCTTTTATTGTGTAGTATTTTCATTGTTATTATCCCCTCAAAGTAGATTGACCAATCAAGAATGACTTGACTTTCAGCTTTCTCAAATTATTATAATTAAATGGAGGTAGGAATTGGTCTATTGGATGTCATCTAAGATTCCCTCAAAGCCGTGTTAGCTATTCCTACTATTTCAAAGAGCAAGTTTTGTCACTCTCGAGCAAAACTATTGGTTGGTTTTATCTCACACATTTTGCACACGTTCGATAAATTGATAGAATTTTTGAGCTTTAACATTCGAATGATTGATGATTGATGGTCACGCTTGAAAATCCATCAAGTTTTACTGAACTGTTCATTTTGCACACTAGATTCACATTATGTCCCTATTTAGTGTAGATTAAAATCTACAGTAAATTTGATTTTGATCTACCCCAAATAGGAGCTATTTGTTTCATAATCCATGGCCGTGTGTAGATTCTACTATCGAGTGTCAACAATTGTTGTTACTCATCATAGTTACTAAGCCTATGTCTGAGCCCTAATTTTTTCTTTCTTTTTAAATGAGTTTTTAATTGTGATTTTTGAAGAACATGATTAGAGAAAGGTCAAATGTACTTTTCAAATGAGTAGTACACATGCTTGCTTACTTTGAAGCAATCTCTGGAATTTTCCCTTATCCGAACGGGTCTTGCAAGAAAATAAAATTTCATATTGAGCTCCAAGTATATGCTATTGAGATAGGATGGCTCCTACTAGCTCTTCCCCCCTAAGAACCGCACCTCTCCGGAAAGGTTCTTACCCTTTCTACAAAGCCTACTCCGTTAAGCTTTCTTTCCGACCCATTAATAACTGCCAGATTTTCAACTGGTCCGGCTATCTCTTGGGCCGGGCTTACAGCGCGTGAAACTCATCACTACCTCATAAGGGCGTTGGAGCAGTATACATGAACCACGCCCCATTAAATGGATTTTATGGTGCTAGAGAGGTTGACAAAATCTCACATGATATTTTATTATTGGATTGTTTAAAATACAGTCATATTTTATTTTTCAATCATATCTTGTTAGACACCCATTATGTTAAGGCATTTGTCAATATCTTTTTGGCAAAACAACATTATTTTCTTTAGAGAGATTAAAAGAACAAGAACCAATTGAATTCAGCTACTAGAACCAGTACTGTTTAAGCTGTTTCTTAAGGGTACACACGGACGAATATCTACTCCATATTATAAATAAAAATATTAAATGGGAATGAACCAGGTGAAGATGATCTAGACATGATACTTTATGGACTTCATTAATTTATAGGATAAATTTCAAATTAGATATATTAAGTAGTAAATAAAGGTTAAATTTATTGATCTTAATAAAGTTGACATTTTTGAGATAGAACATCAAGTATTAATATAGTATTAGAGTTCATTAAATTCGAACGATTCTTTCTATTTGACTAAGATTTGAATGAGTACACAAATTTCAATATTGATATTTTCAAACAAGTTATCTTTTCAATATACGTTAAATAATAAATCTTACCTCTATTAAATATATGATATAAATTACCATACAAGAGTTTGAGTTTCCACTATTAACAAAACAATCATGCTACGAATACAGAATTTTTTGATAGAAAATCCTTGCAGACAACAATGCCACAACATCATTGGAAGATGGGAAAAAAGAAAATAGAGTCCAGTCATATTCTGCCACGTTAGCATCGATACATATTCTGTTAAATTTTTTTCCATACTTGAAGCTTTATTATTAACAGAATCCACTTTCTCATTTTTTATTTTTATTTTTATTTTTAAAGTTACGACAGAATGATTTTATATGCACAGTGATTTGATTCCATCTAAACATGCGCTAAACACTAATTGCACTACATGATATTACTTAATTTTCATAAACTTAAAAATACTTTATTCAAAGGTGTGACGATCTCACCAAACTTACATGGAACATTTTATTTATTATTATTATTATTATTATTATTATTATTATTTTTTCAATACATCGAAAATGAAAGCAACTATGTCATGTCTTAAAAAAGTAAAAGATACATGGAACCCATCGAATTTGATAGAACGACCCTTCTCCATCCTTATGAACTTCACACACCATTTGAATATTTTTATTTGTCGTGTATATGGAAAATATGGAAATGTATTACAAAGTTAAAATATCTTACGTTTCCTTGAAAAGATTAAAGGAAATACGATACCCATGTAAATACAAAATATTTTGTTGATTTTAATATGAGCAACGTGTTCTTTTTTAAATTGTAATGTTATTTATCTAGACTACTATCATATTCATGAGTTTTGATATAATTAAGACCCTATTTGATGTAGTTAAAAATCAATTTTTTTAGTAAATTTTGATGAAATATAGGATAAAAAATTGTGAATTTTATGAAATATGTGGTTATATTTAATTTTTGAATTTGTCTTAGATATTTATCCAAATTTTAATCCATATCAAACATAGAGGGTGTTTGTTGAAGATTAAAATTAGATTTTTTTAGTAAATTTTGATAGAAATTTTTGAAACCTGAGATTGAAAAGTTGTGGAACCAATTAAAGATATGATTAATATTAATTGTTTGCCTTTAACTTAAATTAAATTAGATTTTAATCCGTACCAAACAGACTCATAAGCTAAATAATAATCATTGACTTACTGCCCCCCGGGGCACATCCAAGTTGGCAGAACAATCATATTGGGGGGTTCTGGAACTAAGCGTGGGGAGTTCGATTCCTGGTGGGAACCTTTGATCAAATAAAGGAGGAATTATTGGTGGATTAATCACTATGGAGGAAGGCTCCCTTTGGAGAAGGAGTAAAAGTCATGTGGGAACCAACAAGGGCACATCCCGCGATTTACCTCCCTGAGCTGCTGAGGGGCCGGAGGTTCAGAGACGAGGATATAGTCTGGCGCAAGTTGGGACACCTCGTTAAAAAAAAATAAAAAATCATTGACTTACCATTATAAATAAAATTCATGTCAATTGACTTGACGTCTAAAGATCCCGAGTCTATAGCATTATTCTTTCCCAAGCCCCTGTTTGACCCTGTTTGAGCCATTCTATAAAAACTAATATTTTTTTATTACTCATTTAAAAAAAAATAAAATAAAATAAAATTTACACATAAACTCAAATTTTTTTCTTATTTTTCGATCACATATTCTCCGAAAAGTGATGTATTCAATATAAGTATGGGCTCAAATCACATGATCTCCATCTATCTCCCTGAAATTTAATACTGAAATGTCTTGTGCCTGGTGCACTTTTCGCTTTGAATATTTAGCTTCCAATCTTTCAGGGCAACTCAAAAGCTATTTTTTTCTATGTAAGTCAACAAAGATTACTGCTCCTTTAGATATTCTTCTGCCTTTCTCTCTTTTCATTCTGTGGTTAATCCTGGGAGCATCATTTTTAGTATCAGATAAGATCATTTTCTTAATCTTCAAGGAATCTTGTTTGTTTCGTGCGGGGAACTAGAATGCTTGCTATCGACAGTCCCACCGCCATTCATGGCTATATATATTATAAGGTGGTCAGTGATTTTGGCATGTACCCAAAATTGTGCAAAGTCCGTTCATCAATAAAATTCTATTTCTTTAGTGTTTAAATTCAACAGTTCTTCATCTTTAGGTGAATACACTTGCTCACTACCTATGTGTATTAATTTACTTTTTGTTTTCATATAATGATCTTTATAAATGAAAAATAAATGGAGCTATTGCAAAATATGACCTTTCATCCTAGGCTTGGTAATTAACTGTGAGTTGTCCATTTCAATAGAATACGGTATACCGACTTTCACCTTACTAATATATATTTCTTCTTAATGTTTGGGTTCAGCAACAGATTTTTCCTTCTTCAGCCTATAAGAATGGGAGAAGAATCCCCCGATCCACCATTTCAAGAAAAATATAAAAACCTCTTGGACAGTTTGACTGAAGTAGAATTAGCAAAGAGTTCTGAGGAGCTTTTAGTTGATGAATGCGAACTCCCACTGATTGATCTCAACATGTTAAACCTCGGAGATTCCGAGAGAGAAGCATGCAAGAGACAGATAGCTAAAGCATCCCGAGAATGGGGCTTTTTCCAAGTCGTAAACCACGGAATTTCCAGCCAAGTATTGGAGAAAATGAGAACAGAACAAATGAAGGCTTTTAAGAAGCCGTTTAATGAGAAGACAAATGGCAATGATCCCAAGTTCTCGATGGGGAGTTATACTTGGGGGACGCCATCACCGAATTACCTGAGGCAGCTGTCTTGGTCGGAAGCTTATCATGTGTCTTTGAGTGATATATTGGGTTCTGGTGGCCTCTGCACACTCAGGTAATTCACAAGCCTCAAATCATGAGCAAAAAAGTTTCTTTCTTTCTCCATCACATCAGTGTTATACATGAAACATTTATCTAAGCGTACTTGAAGAAGTCAAAAATATATGCAAACTCAAAATAAACTTAAAAAGCATTCATAAGGGGTAACCTCGTAAGCGATCTTAAATATATAATGCAAGCCAATATACTCGAACAAAAACGTAAGGATTAAGTTGGTGAATAAAACATGAATAGATAATAGAGTTAGTTGAAAGCCAGTCAGTCAATGAAAACCACATGTCATCAACTAAAAAGACTCATTTACCCTCAATGGCTGAATAGATATCTATAAATAGACATACCTAAAATGAAGAATGGTATATTGAATTTGAATAGCTTCATTCCCGATAGTCATTTCTCTTTTTGCTTAATGAGATTATGAGGAGAAAATCCTGAATAGGTAAGAAGAATTTGTTGATCAATATTTTAAGTATCAACAATAAGATTTTAAAAGGTTATGTGATGAGAGCGAAACTTGGTATTAAGATCCCATCCTTTTACTGAATTCAGATCAACAATGGAACAATTTGCGGCAAAAGTGTCTGAGCTAGCACAAAAGTTGGCAGAAATTTTAGTGGAGAAATTGGGTCAAAATTACTCAACATTCTTCAAAGAAACGTGTTTGCAAAGCACTTGTTTTATTCGAATGAACAGATATCCAACATGCCCAATTTCAACTCAAATGTTTGGCCTAATGCCACACACTGATAGCGATTTCCTCACAATATTGCACCAAGATCACATTGGAGGCTTGCAATTAGTCAAAGATGGGAAATGGATTGCTGTTAAACCCAATCCACAGGCTCTCATTATCAACATCGGAGATTTATTTCAGGTATATTTATCAGTTAATGAAATGATAAAAAATGTGCTCGTTTGAGCTACTAAATTACAGTTTTTTTTGCCAAAATCTCACCATCCGCCACCAAGGCTTTGTACTTTGCATGCCTACTTTTTTTTATTGAATAATGTATCTATCACCTTTGATATTGTACATTAGTCTAGGTGTCGGTAATTTTAGTGGAGAAATTGGGTCAAAATTACACAACATTCTTCTAAGAAACGTGTTCGCAAAAACTTGCTTTATTCGAATGAACAGATATCCAGCGTGCCAAATTTCAACTCAAATGTTTGGGCTGACGGCACACACTGATAGCGATTTTCTCACAATATTGCACCAAGATCACGTTGGAGGCTTGCAATTAGTTAAAGATGGTAAATGGTCTGACACCAGTGATATTGTACGTTAGTCTAGATGTCAGTATATCAAAGCTCTTATGAAGTGGGCCATAATTCATTTTATTTAATTAGACCTCTAATTTAATGCCATTAGTGTTGTCATATAGACTGATGCTAAACACACCAATAGTGGCTTTTGTTTTTGCCTATTCCTTGTAAAAAACTGTCACTTAGACAGATATTAGACATAATAACGATAGTAAACAGATGGCAACGGGGCGGGTATGGACGCTCCCGCCCCGTCTCGCTAAAATCCCACCGCGCCCCGTGGGGCAGGCAGGGCAACTTTTTGCCCCATTTTTTTTTATATTTTTTTTACATTTTTAAAATTTCGAGTTATATTATAATTAGAGAATAAAATACAAATTTAAAATGTGTCTTCAACGGGTAAATTATCTAGAAATAAAATTATTTTTATGTTTTTCTTTATCTTCATGGGACGGGTTCGGGGCTTTTTGCATCCCTAGGTGGTTTTCAGTCAAAAACTGCCATGTGTTCCTTGTAAAAGGCCTGTTAGCTCTTTTCCCATACGCATAGTAGGGTTTTGGTGCTAAATAGTAACACTCCTTTTCATTTTAGTAGCTTAATAATGTCTGAAAATGAATGCAGGTTTGGAGCAACAATGTATATAAAAGCGTTCACCACCGGGTTGTGGCTAATAAGCTACAGGAGAGGTTCTCGACTGCATACTTCCTGTGTCCATCTTATGACACTGTTATACAGAGCTGTGTTGAACCTTCGGCTTATAGAAAATTTAGCTTCAGAGAATACAGACAAGAAGTGCAAAACGATGTCAAATGTTTTGGCTATAAAGTGGGACTTGCAAGGTTCCTTTTGTGAAATAATTAGATCCTCGTTTGTAGAATACAGATGTACACTTTTTTCAATGGAAGAATTTATTGGATCATAAGTATTTCACATCAAATTAGTGCACCATATCCTATGTAAAAGGTAGAGACATCTTGTGTTCTTTGTCTCAGTGTTATCTGCTGTTGTCCTGTTCAAATATTATACTAGCAAAAAAATTAGTTAGGCGGAAAAAAGTAAAATCTGCCAAATTTGAAGCCCATGCCAATGGAAGGTCGGTGTAACTCTGTTTGTAGCGAAAGCAGCCAAATATTATAACCATCTCTTAATGAAGCCCTCTAAGAAGTAAAAGTGGGGGACTGGGAGTAGTGGTGAGCGTGGATTGGGTTGGGTCGGTTTTTGTCCCAACCCAACACAATCGGTTTGATCTAAAATCAAACCAACCCAACCCAAGTAAATGTTGAAACCCAACCCAACCCAATCAAGTGTCAGTTGGGTTGGACAAATTTTAAGTTATTACCATATAATCAAACAAAAAGAAGAGCGAACAAAAAACTAAAAACTGTAAAATGTATAAAACATTTCTTTTAGGATTTAGCAATATTAAGTATTAGTTGAAAAGAAACACAAAAGGCAGGAAAATTGAAAAATGGAGAAGTAGACATTAAATTAGAAAAAAACAAAAAAGGAAGGTTTATTAACTTGATATTCTTTGAGTGGTCGAGTGCATGGTGCCTTGCATTGCTCTTCAAAAGTTCCTGTTTCGGATCTACAGGCTCATCGACAGACCTAGATTAACAAAACAAGTTTGCACAACACACAACAATACTTATTAAATTGATGCCAAACCAAAAAGTAAGATAGATGGTTTTGCTGGTAGCCAAAATTTTATTTTTTTTCGAATTTAACTTCTTAATTATTATTTATCTCAAATCTTTAATAGTTTTTGGCAATAACAAGCAAATTATGCTTCACAAGCTTATTTGAAATGTGAGAAATCGATTTATTCAGAAGTTAGATTAAGACTCTATATAGAATCTTAACATTTATTTTTTCTTCAACATTTATGTCCATAATTCATATAATCATTCTACAAGATACTTTTGTAAATTAGTACAAAACTTAATTATCCTAAGAGATAGAGATTACGGGAAGACCTAATTGAAATATTGAGTTATATATTGTGATTTCAGAAATTCAATATAAAAATTTGTCTATTAGAAATTATAATGGGATTCTTGTTATAATTTTATGAAACTTTAAATCTTGAAAATAGCGATTTTACGTTTAGGCAATTTATTTCTCTTTTCCTTTCTTTTCTTTTTTTCTTTTAAAATAGGCGGGTTGGGTCGGTTTTTATGAGTTAACCCACAACCCAACCCAACCCAACCCACCTACACAATCAAAAAACCGAAACCCACTTAAAAACAAAAAAAAAAAACCGACCCAACCCAGTCGGGTTGGGCGGTTTGAGCAGGTTCGGTCGGGTTTTGCCCCCTCAACCGGGTTGGGTCGGTTTGGGCAATTTAAGCGGGTTCGGTCGAGTTTTGCCCACCTCTAACTGGGAGGCTAATAATTATCAATTGAGGGCATTGTAATCCCCGTTGTGTTTGCTCATGTGTAAGGTGCAATAGATCAGCAATATGGTCCCCATGCTTGACCTGTAGAAAATGAGAACCTCTGCAAAATGTGAGTTGTCTTAGGTGGTGCTGAAAAGAAATGAAGAACAAACTTACAGAGTTGCAAAGAAGAGAAGTATCCTTCTGGGGTCAATTGTCCATGAAGGAGAAGACCTTCTGAAACTGAAAATTTTGCCACCAAATTTGCTTTCGACAGCAGGGTTTCCCATGATAGTGATCTGATTGTGAACTGGCGGGCTGGTGAAATTATCGCATCCGCCCATAGCCACAATTAGGGGCTTTTCCGGCGTGCCACCACCAAGTAAAGCAGCTGCAGTTTGGATACCATGCAGAATATGTTAGCTTGCCATTACCCAAATTTTCCCATAATGCAAATTATATGTATCCAATTGCGCATTGAACAAAAAGAAATGAGACAGAAATATGTGTTTATACTTTAAACTTTTCTTTGCTGATGATCTTACTAAAGGATTAAGCTAGAAGAGGTGTACATTGAATCAAAGTTTACAATGCAGCTAGGGTCGGCCCCAAGAATTTTGAGGCCTTAGGGGACTCATCATTATGAGGCCTTTAAACGTAAATTTTTTCAAACGTAAAAATACTTAAATGTTTAAATAAATAATATATTTATATTTTAAACGAAGACTTGGGCTGACCCTGAGTGAAGTCGAATTAAGGGCTTAAGGTGAACAAAAAAAAGGCTTAACAACATGTTGATTTTAAAGATACTCGAGAATTTAATAAATCTAGAATTCATTGATTGTCAATTGGATACCGAGTAACAGATCTTGATTGAGAAATCATTGATATCATTAAATGCTAATTGCAGTGCCTATCTAATAACCTAGATATCGAACCTAATTAAAATTACATCATAATGTGTTCCTCGGCTGCTTAGTTTAGCGTTCAAGTCTCCTCGCAATCACTTAGAAAATTTAAGAAATCCACGTTCGGATTAAGTATTCAATTTACTAACCAAGTCCTAATTCATCGAGTGATAATGCAGAAACATGACAGTACCATAAGAAACAGAGGATTTGGGTAGGTGCGTGGGGGCTGATTGATTAAATTTTAATGATTTATAGCTGCCCATCACCTGTCATTCGGATCAATATCTGATAATAATTGAAATCATCATCATATAATGTTCAGACACTCTGTTTAGATGGTATTAAGAACGTGAATACAAGATAGTACACAAGCGTACTTAATGGTGTCTCGATTGTGACCTAAGCAGGTTTTGGCCTCTACCATGCCATAGGCACCAAGAAACACAAATATACTTGAACTTGGAGGCCATTTTTATTGGAACTTTCTCATAATTGGATAAAATAGACTACTTCGACTGGACATTAGGTGTAAATCTAACGCAAAAACATATGATTTTGAGATGACAAAAAATGACAAAAGAGAAAAAGGAGTAACGGTTACCTCTCGTTGAAGTTGCAATGACACTAATGTCTTTCTCGTTGGCTGTATTTTTCTTCTCGACTCCTCTGAATGTTCCTTTTCTTGAAATGCTTCTCTGCAACTTATCATCCAAAAGTGCACACATAAACAGAAAAACGTAGACTTTTTTTTTGGCACATAGATAGTTTATTTTTGGAAATCTAAACAAAAAGAAAGCCAAAGTACAGGGAAGGAATAAAGGCATAATCCCTGAAATGATCAAATTAAGAAAGAAAAAACTTACTTTAATTCTTGAATTTGCATTAAGATCCTTCTCTAAGCGTTCAATATCTAACACAAAAGAATCAGATTTAATGGTTGTGTATTGCAATCCATTTACATGATCAGAAAGCTCACCAGCTTCACAATTTGCTATTAGATTATGAGAGTCCATTGTTTCCTAAAATAAATAGTAAAAATAAATAAATTATAGACGGTTACGTTTGTGTATAAAGATATGGTGTTTGATCAATACAAGAATTTAAACCCGCATAAAGAAGAAAAGAAAGCTGGAAAAAGCTATGCTTACCAACTTTGGATTTTCAGTCATTTCTCACCAGATTATGCAGGAGAGAGAATTCTAATAATTTCACAAAAGATTAAGGATCGAAATTAAGAGAAAGAAAGGGACTCATAGATGAGTTGTTTGGCGGATTTCACAAAGTTGCTTAATTCGCAAAGCTCCATCATTTTCTAATTTTCTTCAACTGCTACAAAATCAATATTTGTGGGTTGGAATTTGGTATAATGATTTCCTCTTCATTCATTCGAAGGAAAATCTAAACAGCATGTATAATTCTTGATGATGTGTGATCGCTTTGGGTGTATGTATAAATACATATGATGGTTGGGCGGGGGGATTGAGAAGGTTTGATGAGTGAGAGAGGTAGACAAAGGGAATTCCAAGGATGATTAGAGAGAGAAAGTTGGAATTGAGAGACTCTTAATTAGGTTAATCATTGTAATTCATGACGATTAATTCTCGTTCATTGTGACTTTTTCAAGAAAAAAAAAAGGATAATTCTTACTTCACATGTCTTTCGAACTAAAATTGGTGAAGGAAAAAAAGGTAGTCCCACTTAAAGTATATGATTAAGAAATATTAGGTCAAGGGATCAAAGGTGCTCTTATTTCACCAAGTCCTCAGGCGATTGAGGATGACTTTCTTTCGGATGAAAAAAGAATCTGAATTTTGGAGAGCTTGACACTAATTATTGATTATCTCATCTCAATTTGGGCCAAAAGCATAACTAATTTTAAAGAGGATCATCCAACATGTTATTCGATTTGGACATAGGCGTGCAAGGAAGAAAACGATTAGTGAATTGAGGAGGATAAAATCGTATTTAATTCAACTTTACTTGATTCATAATTTTGAGGGTAAAGAGAGATACCTTCACTATAAAGAAAATGACATTTTCCAACATGTAAATGGTAACATTCATTCAACGACTACTGTCGAAAGAGATCTATCACAGTAGTTACTGAGTGTATGTTTTTTTAGTTAACAAAATTGAGATTTGCAACCATAATTTTAATGAATGTTGATATAGTCAACCTCTGCGACTTTCACCTGATTCTTACAAAAACAAAACTACATATTTCAGATTTTTTGCAACGTTCAAAATTACATATTTGTTTTGTAGTGCTTGTTGGTTATCCAACTTTCAAAATCTTCAATTTGATCACTTAACTTTAAAACTTTTCAACTTAGCCATTCATAATGAGGGATATTGAGCAATTTTAATGAAATTTCTGATACAAAATAATCAACACAACTTTGAAATATGCATTGAAAAAATGGTGTCTTGTTCAGTAAATACAAAATGCACATGATAAATGAAGTAAAAATTCAACTCGAGTTGGTCAAAAAAAATTACACGTTGGTTCTTTTTTGTTCTTTCAATTGAATCACATTTCTTGTGTTTATTGTGATGCTTAAATGCCTACTTATTAAGGGAAAAAAATTACTTGCGTTCTTGAAACCAAGATCGAGTTGTCTAGTTATAATTTTTAAGATAAAATGTTCAATCACCTCTAATACCTTTATTCAAGTATGATGGATTTTTTTTATACAACATGTTCTCAAGTCGATAAACCCACCCGAATCCCTGTTGGGAAAATTGGGTGATTCGTATGTAGATTTATTTAGAAATTAGCATAATCATATAATCAATTAGACGTAAACATAATTCAACAATAATATAAAATAATAATAGGGTTAGAAAATCAAACATTGGGAGTCAAGTTGACAACGTTGTCCTAAAGTTGTGTTGCCTCCCCTTCGTGCAGGTTCTTTCGGTACTACACGATTCCAAGGTAAAACTCATGTGACTCTTCTTCTATGGGCACGACCATAAGGAGATAAAAAATGAGCCTTTATCTAGTTGCCGATATAGTATGGGGTAAAATTATAGAGAATAATTTTGGAATCAATCATATCAAGTTGTGTTTTTCAAATTGTATCTCAAATTGTGATTTTCCTTCCTTTATATAATGTACAATTTAACCCCCATACTAATGAGAATTAATCAATCCATAACCTCCATTTAAATATTTAATTTTATGTTATAATATAAATTAAGATTTTAATTAAACCCAAAACTGAAAATTAAAAATATAATAATTTTGAAAGTTGAAACTTAATATAGTTTCCAACAATCCCCCACAAGTTTTAAGCTTTCAAAATAATTAAAAAATATATAATAGCGGCAACATAATACTGTGCAATAGGTGTAGATGTCTTTTGGACTTGAACCTCGCTTAGTGATAACAATTTCCATTTGAGGGAATCATAATGGACTAAGTCTTGAATTCGATCCCTTTGATCAAATTTCAATTGCTCCACACACAGTATTGATTTAGGCTCTAGTTCATAACGGTTAGTGCTTTTAATGGCCATGCACTCTAATCTTGATTCTAGTAAGAGTCTCTAGAGAATAGCCCAATCTCATAGCCACGGTCTCATGACAACTCTTACATAGGTGAGTCCTCTAAGAGTGTGTGTGACCCACACTTCGCGAGAATTCTCGCTTCGGTACTCATTCAGGGTTAAACCCTCCCTAACATTACATTATCATTAGCACTATCACCATAGGGATGAGCACAATATAAATAGTGCTATTACAAGTCACGCAATACGGATTGTTTCTACTACATTGAACCTTCTTCATGGGATCTCCAATCACAAAGGTTGGGTTACTCCCGGAGGTGACTTCCTTATGGGCTTAAACCCATCCCCCTCGATGATTTATGTATGTCCATCTCGGACTACATATATTCATGTCCCTCTTAAACAATAATTTGGTATCATCAATTTGTAAAACTTTTATTCTTCACCTGTAAATCTGCAAAATCTTCTAAAATTTCCAAAATATGAATATCACATATCTAAGTTTAATAAGATAAATATACGAATTTTAATATTGATTTTAGTAATACGATCGAGCAGATGAATCCATTGAACTCTTGCATATCAGCTGCAAACTTCATATTTAATGTGAACATTTTGATAAATGTGTCAATTCCAAAATAATTATGGATAATTATGGATAAAGCACACAGATATCCAATATTTTTAATACCCCCACATTTCAAAGATATCAATCTTTTCTTGGTAAATATATGATCTTACAAATCATTTATTTGTTAAGATCACATGTTGTGAGGAGATGGTTGGTGCACGTGTTTATCAAACCAAATATTTTGTAACTTTTCCTTAAACACATTCGCAAAATATTAGTCATAAAGCTAAAGAATAATCTCCTAAAACAAGCAACAATATAGCTCTTGTTTGGTAGAGATTATATATCCAATCTTCAAATTGCACAAAACGTCAATATCATTACAATAAAATAGTCATAGATAGAACTCACATGAGATCTTAGTTTCATGTTTCATAATATGAACTATTGCACAACTACTTAACAGTTTACGATCCTTTAAATGCATGACATGAATTATGATATGAAGTTCTTGAATTCATTGTGCAAAATTCATGAAATAAAGCTTCAGACATCCTTTCTAATGACATGAATTATGACATGAAGTTCTTGAACTCATTGTGCAAAATTCATGAAATAAAGCTTCAGACATCCTTTCTTATTATACACGCTATATATACTTAAATTGATAACAAATAATATACCCATATATCTTTGCACTTATGATATGTAGCTCTTGTATAGTAACAATTTACATTCCTGAATTCAAAACGGCTTGAATGTCTGAACCAATAAATTAGTTTTGCTCCATTACACTCTAGTTCAGTCATTTTTATTTTATTTTATTTTTTCAATACAACCATGGCTTTCTTACATTACCTAGTAACATCACTTGACTATCTGTTTCACAAACTAAAATATTAATTTGCTTCCACCAGGAAATCTCATTTTGTCTTGTTATATATATATATACACACACACACACACACACACACACACACACACACATTCAATTTTTATAATTAACCTATGAACATGAAGGCTTATGCCCTACCACCCACAATTAATGCATTTAAAAGGTAAGTTACACTCCATAATTAAGATTTTTAACTTTATATTGTTTAACTTTATATTAAAACTGAAAATTTAAGAAGGTTTTAATTTAACTTCCTTTTTTTATGTTACACTTGGGATGTAAACAAAATTATGCAGATTAGTCATGATAATACACCTCTTTTAAAATATTAATTAAGCACATTATTAAAGTTTAAATCTTTTAGCCATTTGTTTATAATCAAATCATATAATTTCTGTGAAATCAAAATATTTCATAGATTCATGTGCATGACTAAATACCAAATTTATTTTAAAATACTCTAAGATTTCAGCATTTAACTTGTTACACGTGAAAATAATATAGACACTTGCCTATTCAATGCACTTGCATAATCTTGCATGAAACATGGTCTTACCACCAAAACCTGATCTATTGCATCCAACAATCAATCTTGTGAGATACTAATTCATTTCTGCATTCAGTATCAGGATATTAAGACTCATGCTCGATGGTTTATTTACGTCCATGACTAATTTTCCAGAATCTAATATGCAATACTGTATTTCTTCACGATTAGGTTTGTTCTGCATGGCTTAAACTTTAGTTTTATGACTTTGATACCCAAAGTTCAGGAGGCTAGGCCAATAGTCACTGGCAACTTCTTGTTCAAGATTAACACCAACACTCTAACTAATCGATTAAGTTCCATTGGCTCCAAAATTGTGTCAGATAATCAGTACCAATTTGCTAAGGGGCAGTAAATTGAAGAGTGCATTGCAGTGGCTTAAGAGTGTGTTAGTGCTTTGAAAAAAAATGATTTGGTTTCAAGGTTCTAAAAAAATGATATTGGTAAAGCTTTTGATACATCGGTTGGGATTTTCTCTTACGGGTATTACAATTCTATGGATTTAATGCCATTTTTGTGCTAGAACAAATATTTAAATCTGCCAGAATATGAGGCTTGGTGAACAGGATGCCTAAGGGATATTTTTGATGCTCAAGAGTTGTTCATCATCTATATCTCCTTCAATTCAAGAGAATTATCTATTACTCATGAGGAGAGCTAAATGGATTATTGGTGAATACTTATGGGTGAGATTCTTGACAGACAACAGGTTAGGAGATCCAACTTTCCGTTAGATACAAATAGGTTGCTTACGACACTTGTGTTAGTTGTGTAGTATACTAGCAGTTGGTATTTACCAATAGAATTCAGGTCTTGGTACACTACCTATAGATGTGTATTATGTGTATTAGGCACGAATGCATGTCCAAAATTTCTAAGCAACAATAAGGAAATTAATTTGGTATTAGAGGTAACACAAGGTACACTAAGATTACACATATGATTTATCTACACACAATACTTCAACATGACTTTAGATTGTTGGAAAAATTGGGTGATTTGTATGTAGATTTATTTAGAAATTAGTATAATCATATAATCAATTAGACATAAACATAATTCAACAATA